TGAATAAATGAGAGAGAATGAGAGGGTAGAAGATTCAAGAGTTACGTGAACAAATGTTGTTGTTGTTGTTACCAGCCCAAACACGAATGGTTTCTGTTCACTCTGTCAAGCCGACCAGAAAAACATCTCATATTTGTTAATTTATATGTTATGTAGCATGTTATTATATAATTCTCAAAAAAAATCATAGATGGATTAAGCAAAATGTCTATATTAACGTTTTATAAACATTTAATGCACCTCAGTGATTATTATGGTGTTATTATCATTATTAATATAGCATCTTCAAAACGAATTACACTCTTAATGAGTGGCTCTGAGACGGACAAGCAGACAGAAAGACAGACACAGGTAGACAGAAAGAGACACACAGGTAGACAGAAAGACAGACACAGGTAGACAGAAAGACAGACACACAGGTAGACAGAAAGACAGACACACAAGTAGACAGACAGACACACAGGTAGACAGACAGACACACAGGTAGACATAAAGACAGACACACAGGTAGACATAAAGACAAACACACAGGTAGACAGAAAGACACACAGGTAGACAGACAAACAGACACACAGAGATACAGACAGACACAGATATACAGGCAGACAGATACAGACAGGTTTATGTGCAACACTGAAAACAAATAGAGAGTTCGAGAGTAAGAGCCTTTCTTGCTACAATCTCCAGTGCAATATTCAGACTTCATCTTAGGGGCCATGGTGAAATTTACTGTCCAGTAAGTACAGTTAATACAGTATGATGCTGCTTATAGGACAGGGTTACTCAAACTGATGCTGCCTCCATGACACATTGCCGCCGTGAGTATTGTCAAATATTGTACAGAGGTATGCATTAGCCGGCCCAGCCCAGCTGCCAGATTCACAGTCGTAAGTCGAGTGGACGTATGTCGAGCAGGTCGTAAGTCGGATGGTAGGTGTATATATATTCTTTCTTCTTTCAACGTACCAGCCGTATCCCACCGAGGTGGGGTGGCCCAAAAGGAAAAACAAAAGTTTCTCTTTTCAAATTTAGTAATACATATATACAGGAGAAGGGGTTACTAGCCCTTTGCTCCCGGCATTTTAGTTGCCTCTTATGACACGCATGGCTTATCTGCTATCTGTTTTTCATTTATCCACACCAATAACAGTCTCTCAACATCTATCACTTGCGATCTCTGTTTCGAAAACAAAGTTGCACCTTTGGCAAGAACAGCTTCCTTGATTGCCATTTTCTTGGCCACAATAGTAGCAATGATTGATTGGGGTTTTGTGTACAACCTGGCCAGCTCGGAGACACGCACTCCACTTTCATACTTACCAATGATCTCTTTCTTCATATCCATAGTAATTCTCACTCTTTTTGCTGTAGGGTTGGCACTAGAAGCTTTCTTGGGGCCCATGGTGACTTATTTTGCAGGTGCAATCACTTAAAAGGCTGTGATAATATGAAATGTTCCGATTGTATGCTTGGAAGCGATCGCTGTGGCTGGCTTGTAAACACTGGCACCCAAGGAACAAGTGAGGCGGGCTCAGGCCGCACGTGGACGCGTCTCGAACGAACCGCGTTGAGCGAGTTTTTTAGTGCTAGCCGAGGCAAAATTTTTTCGTTAAAATGTATCGCTAGGTGGATTTAACATTATGCGATGCGTTCGTTAGGCGAGGTTCCACTGTGTATATATATATATATATTATATATATATATATATATATATATAATATATATATATATATATATATATATATACATCTTCTTTCTTTCAACACACCGGCCGTATCCCACCAAGACAGGGTGGCCCAAAAAGAAAAACGAAAGTTTCTCTTTTAAATTTAGTAATTTATACGGGAGAAGGGGTTACTAGCCCCTTGCTCCCGGCATTTTAGTAGCCTCTTACAACACGCATGGCTTACGGAGGAAGAATTCTGTTCCACTTCCCCATGGAGGTAAGAGGAAATAAACAAGAACAAGAACTAGAAAGAAAATAGAAGAAAACCCAGAGGGATGTGTGTATATATATGCTTGTACATGTATGTGTAGTGTGACCTAAGTGCAAGTAGAAGTAGCATGACGTACCTGAAATCTTGCATGTTTATGAGACAGACAAAAGACACCAGCAATCCTACCATCATGTAAAACAATTACAGGTTTTCGTTTTACTCTCACTTGGCAGGACGGTAGTACCTCCCTGGGCGGTTGCTGTCTACCAACCTACTCCCTAGGATATATATATATATCTTTCTTTCTTTCAACACACTGGCCGTATCCCACTGAGGCGGGGTGGCGCAAAAGGAAAAGCGAAAGTTTCTCTTTTTACATTTAGTAATATATACAGGAGAAGGGGTTACTAGCCCCTTTGCTCCTGGCATTTTAGTCGCCTCTTACGACACGCATGGCTTACGGAGGAAGAATTCTGTTCCACTTCCCCATGGAGATAAGAGGAAATAGACAAGACCTAGAAAGAAAATAGAAGAAAACCCAGAGGGGTATGTATGTATATATATGCTTGTACATGTATGTGTAGTGTGACCTAAGTGTAAGTAGAAGAGGCAAGATGCACCTGAAACTTTGCATGTTTATGAACAGAAAAATGGACACCAGCAATCCTACCATCATGTAAAACAATTACAGGCTTTCGTTTTACACTCACTTGGCAGGACGGTAGTACCTCCCTGGGCGGTTGCTGTCTACCAACCTACTACCTACAACCAGGGTAAATATAGGTTATTATGTAAATTCTTCATCCTTAAGTTGGTTGTACAGTAGGAACATTTATATTTTAGGCCTAAGAAGGGGTAACTTATGAGAATAGTTTTTTTTTTTTTTTAACCAAAAGAAAAAACCCAACCTAACTGAACCTAATGTAACCTAACTTAGATTCTCAGTTATAGTCTATAACCTAACCTAGATTTATTTTTTTGGTTACAAAAAAAGAAATCCTATAAGCCAAAAATGTAAGTCTCCACTGCACAACCTATTTAATATTGTAGAATTTGAATAATAAAATTTGCAAATCTCACATACACTGTCATATTATATACAGCAAACTATAAATTATTGCCTTTCTCCACTGAGCATCTAAAGAAATGTTGACCCAAGATTTTTCTGGCTAACAGCAAGACTAGATTAAGCCAATCTCAAATATAAGATGCAGGGATTTACACAGTGCCTGTATAAGAGATCATTTGCTTGTATCCACACTAATGTGTCTATCTTGCAGTTTGGATTAATAAATCATCCTTATAGGCTCAGTTTCATGTCTCATTACACTCCAATTATTTCCTTGTTAAGGTCTTAAGCTGTCTTCTGTGGTTTTTGGTTGCTTCTAGAAGGATTCTTCTGAGGCATTCATGAAATCTGATCATAGAATGCAAATGCAATGCTTTGAAATATGAAAAGCTTCCTGTAGATGGTTCCATGAAGAGTGCTGTCTGCCACCTTTCCTTATATAATACAGTACCAGGATGTAACTAATGATGTGTGAGACTTATGGTTTAACCAGGGCAGACTTACTAGGTTAAAAGTGATTACGTAGTATCTTACTGGTGTTATACAGGTTATACTGTCTTTTCGTGAATGGTTCATTGAACCCTTCATATAAAGAAGTCTTTTTGCTTTAAAATGTTGTCTTCAGGGTCTTGGTAACATGTAATTTTTTTGTCTTTCATGTTATATATAAGAGACATTATTCTACTTTTTTTATAAAGTATTTAACCCTTAAACTGTGTAAACGTAGATCTACGTTTGCACATGTAGTGCTCCAAACGTAGATAGTCTTATTTTTTATTCCTTGAAATTTGGCACAATAGGCTTGAGTTGCCTAGACATGAAAGAATGGGTCTGTGCACTCAGTGTGTGCACTATTAAAAAAATCTGGGAGCACTTAGTACCTTGTGGGAACACCAGTTCAATTGAGTGCCAGCTAGAGCAAATAATGTGGCAAACACCAGGGAGTCACTGATGCCATGTCATACTAACACTTCCAATTTAAGAGGAAAGTAAAAATAGGTTAGATAAAAACATGAGTGAGTGTGGGTGGGTGTGAGTTGGACCTGACTAGCTTGTGCTACTAGGTCTGATGTCATGCTCCTTCCTTCAGTGCATGTGACCTGACTAGGTGGGTCATTGGTCTGAGCCAGAGGGATAGGGTGACATGTACCTGCCTTGCATGGGCCAGTAGGCCTGCTGCAGTGTTCCTTCTTTCTTATGTTCTTATGTGTTCGGCAGGCTGGCCGGCTGGCTTGCTTTGGCTCTCTCTGGCTATATATCTCTGTCTATATCTGTCTGTCTATATCTCTGTCTCACATGTACACATAAGTACAGTTATTATACATAGTGCAAATTACCTAGGATAATCCAAAAATTTCAGGCAAAGATAGACAGACAGAAACATGTTTGTGTGTATCAGTGAAAAATAAAGCCAGGGTTCCCCGAGCACCCATCTATCAAATGTCACTGATCTGATAACAGATGTCGTAACACCATTCTTCAAGGAGTGTGATATGCATATACTCCAGGCAGACAGAAAGACAAATAAGCAGAGACAGACAGACAGGCAGGCAGATAGACAGACAGATAGGCAGACAGACATAGATAGACAGACAGGCAGATAGACAGACATATATAAATATATAAATTAAAAATTAGAAAAAAGGTTTATTGGCAACACTTCTGCAAGTGGCAGGAGTCGATGTTGCCGTCAGGTGAGCGTCCAGAGCCATCTTCATGTTCTTATATCTCGGTAAGTACTGACCCTAAATTTTGTTTTTTTAATCCTATAACATGTAGAAAAATGTGCTCTTCATTTTAAAAGAAAAAAAATTTTTTTATTTTTCAAAATATTCGAAGCGCCACACGAGTGAACGTAGATCTACGTTTGGACAGTTTAAGGGTTAAGTCACAGTGTAATAATAATATTTTTTTAAAATAGATATATTTCAGAAAAAATTAAGAATACTGTTCTATAAAAAATAATTAAAAATTTTTTGTACCGTACTTGACAGCTGAATGAATTGCGGAGGAAGGTGAGCGAACAAGAACGTGTTGCGTTGGAACAAAATCGCATCTTATCGGAACAAACTCTGAAACTCACCAGCCAAGAAGGAAAACTCAATGAGGTTTGTCAATTTTTATTAATAAACAGTGCCATTCTTGGACTTATTCTCTCTCTCATCATTATGTTCACTCCATACCATAAAATACTGACAAAATAAAAACCTTTCATTTAACTCAGATATAACATTAATATGTTTTATCAATAATGTTAGTTTAATAGTCATCTAATATTTAGCATGACTAATTAAATTTGTAAAACAGTGTACAGTACATGTAATTTGGTTATGAAGATATAGTAGTGGCAACTATTACAGTTAACAGTAGCTTGTACCTTTTGATTGAATAGGTATTAAAGCTTTGTTAAAAATTAATCACAAGAATAATTTAAGGTGGTTTGGACATTTAGAGAGGATGGAGCACAAGAAGATTACCAAGAAAGTGTATAACTTGGGGATGGAAGGTAAGAGGGATATGGGGTCATCCCAGAAAGGATTGAAGAGAGGGGATATGGGAGGTTGTGAGGGCTAGGGGCCTAGCATCTTGCTGGCATGTTTGAGCGGGTTAGATTGGAGTGAGTGAAGACCCATGGGTTTTGTAACTTGACTTGCTGTTGGAGTATGAGCAAGGTAACATTTATGAAGGGATTCAGATGCTTGTTAAAGAAGGAGCTTTGTGCCACATTAGCCTTTTTGTGTATGCATAACTTCTCAAACGTTTTATTATGTATCATATTGTCTCTCCATCAGATTTACTTTTTCTTTACCTTTGTTAGTCTTTGACAGAGGTACACTTTTATGCCAGTTTGAAGCTCTACCAAGCCTGCAGGCTCAGGTAGTTTAGAATCATTTCCTGTCTCCTGTATAAATTACTAAATGTAAAAAGAAGAATATCTTTTTTGAGTCACCTTGCCTTGGTTGGAGATGCCCATTGTGATAAAAAAAAATTGTCTATAAATGGATAAATTTTAAGTAATAGAGGAATAGGGATAAAAATTGGAGACAAATTGTCTTTAGATTTAGATTTAGATATTTATTTTGACAAATTACATGGTTGTACAGAGGAATATAATAGTTGGATGTACATGCCAAAAGCCCCTCTGTTTGCTGAGCATTTCGGGCAAACTTAAAGATTAACTTAAGAATAGTAAGGTAATAATACATAGTTCATATGGTCATTAGATGAGTTAGTGAGTGCAGGAGAATTAAATATTATATCAGGTGATGCTACATTGTTTTGATAAGTCTAGTAGAGACTTATTACACTATTGATTTAGCTAATAAAGATTACAGTATTACAATGTAACAATTTAAAACAATTTACAATATGATGTATTACAGTTTAGTACTATTGAAAACAATGAAATTTGATATTACAATGGAACAATTTACATTATGATGTACTGTATTACAATCTACTACTATTTAAAACAATGAAAAGAAGACATGGTAATTTTGAAGGAGTAGGTGGTTGAACATTCATCTGCACAACATGAGTAGCTTTTGAGAAACTGGTAGTGGTTAGGTACGGTTTGTCTGGTTAATTTTGGGTGATGAGATGATTTCTTATTTGGGCCTTAAACTGATTTGTTTTATTTTAGTTCAAACCTTGAATATTCTAACATTCTAAATTTTTATTTTATCTTCATCTACCAATAATTCACTTCAGCAATACTGCAGAATATAAAACTAGTACGTGAGGGCCCTGCTTTACAGTGTTTCACTGGTGCTTGTCCCATAGAAATGCCACCATTTGAAACATTACATATGTACATATATGCAGAGAGAGCATGGTACATATACTCACTGTGTATAAGTCAGTCAGTCAGTCAGTCTCTCTCTGTCAGTCAGTCAGTCTCTCTCAGTCAGTCAGTCAGTCTCTCTCAGTCAGTCAGTCAGTCTCTCTCAGTCAGTCAGTCTCTGTCTCTGTCTCTATCTCTCTCTTTCTCTCTGTATCTCTCTCTCTCTCTGTATCTCTCTCTCTGTATCTCTCTCTCTGTATCTCTCTCTCTATCTGTATCTCTCTCTCTATCTGTATCTCTCTCTCTCTGTATCTCTCTCTCTCTGTATCTCTCTCTCTCTGTATCTCTCTCTCTCTCTCTGTATCTCTCTCTCTCTCTCTGTATCTCTCTCTCTCTCACAGACAGACAGACAGACAGAGTTAGGAAAAAGTTTGTTTATTACAGTGGACCCCAGCCATTTGGCGCTGTGACTTTCGTGAAATCCGACTTTCGGCAACTTTTCTCGCCAAAATGTAGCCTCGTGGTTCGTGATTGGCCTCGTGATTCGGCGACCGTCCGGTACGCATCCGCCGTCAGCGTGCACACAAAGCCAGTCTCCCACACCAGGGAGCTGAGTCTCGACCCCTGCAACCACAATTACGTGAGTAGGTGAGTACACCATTACACTCAAGTGTGCCAGTGTTTACCAGCGAGTGACCATCACCCCACAGATTCATGTGATACATTTCATAATAATCCATTGTTTTTTTGTGCGTTGTAACTGCTTAATAAGTCACCATGGACCCGAAGAAAGCTAGTGCCAGCCTTTTGGTAAAGAAAGTGAGGAACACAATCGAATTCAAGAAATAAATCATTGAAAAATATGAGTGGAGTGCGTGTTACAGAGCTTGCCAGGATGTATGGCAAACCCCATTCAACCATCACTTTGATCGTGGCGAAGGGAAAGGAATATGCTGACAAAAAAGATATTGCAAATCCTCGAAGAAGTAGAGAGGTTATTGTTGGTGTGGATTACCCAAAAACAGTTAGCAGGAGATAGCATTATGCAGTTGATAATATGTGAAAAGCCAAGGCAGTTGCATGACGATCTCGTAAAGAAAAATGCCTGCAATGAGTGGTGATGTTTGTGATTTTAAGGCCAGCAAAGGCTGGTTTGAGAGATTTAAGAAGTGTAGTGGCATACACAGTGTGATAAGGCATGGTGAGGCTGCCAGTTCAGACAAACAGGCGGCTGAGAAGTTTGTACAGGAGTTTAAAGGGTACATAAACACTGAAAATTCAAACCCCAACAAGTGTTCAATTGTGATGAAACAGGCCTGTTTTGGAAGAAAATGCCAAAGAGACCTACATCATGCAGGAGGAAACGGCACTGCCAGGACACAAGCCTATGAAAGACAGGCTAACTCTCATGTTCTGTAGTAATGCTAGTGGGGATTGCAAAGTGAAGCCTTTACTTGCCTATCACTCTGAAAATCCCAGTGTGTTCAAGAAAAAGTGTCGCCAAGAGTAAATTGTGTGTGATGTGGAAGGTTAACAGTAAGGCATGGGTCACAAGGGAAATTTTCCTTGATTGGTTTAATGAAGTGTTTGGCCCCACTGTGAAGAAACACCTCCTGGAAAATAAATTGGAACTCAAGTGCCTCCTGGTAATGGATAGTGTTCCTGCTCATCCTCCAGATTTGGAAGAGCAAATGGTGGAGTTTCATTTCATCATAGTGAAGTTCTTGCTCCCTAATACAACTCCTCTCCTGCAGCCCATGGACTAGCAGGTCATTTCTAACTTCAAAAAACTTTACACCAAAGCAGTGTTTCAAAAGTGCTTTGAAGTGACCCCAGACACTGAATTGACCCTAAGAGAGTTCTGGAAAGATCACTTCAATATCCTCAATTGCATAAACCTTATAGGTAAGGCTTGGGAGGGAGTGACATGCAGGACTTTGAACTCTGCTAGGAGAAAATTGTGGCTAGAATGTGTACGAGAGGGATTTTGAAGGGTTTGGGGCTGACCCTGAGGAGCCTATGCCAGTTGTGGAAAGTATTGTGTCACTGGGGAATTCCATGGGGTTGGATGTGAGTTTAGAGGATGTGGAAGAGTTGGTGGAGGATCACAATGAAGAGCTAAATTTGCTTCAGAGGAGGAAGAGAGATGGAGGAAGGTGTCTTCTTCAAAGATTAAGGACATTTGTGCAAAGTGGACTGAAGTGCAAACATTTATGGATGAACTTCACCCTGACAAAGCTGTTGCAGGCCATGTTGGCAACATGTACAATGACAATGTTGTGTCCCATTTTAGGGAAATTTTAAAGAAACACCAGAAACAGAGAGCTCTGGACAGATATTTTGTGCAACAGGGGTCCAGTGACTCTCAAATTGTTCCCAATGGCATTAAAAAACAAAGAAGGAAAGTAAACCCAGATAAGGACTTAGTACCGGAAGTCCTTATGGAAGGGGGTTCCCCTTCCAAATAATAGTGCACCTTCATTCTCTCCCCCCTTCTGTCTTCCATCCACCCAGAAGTCTTCAATAAAGGTAAGTGTAATGTTATTATTTTATATAAGTATGTACTTGAGTTCTCATTGTTTTCTGTATCTAAATCTATTTGATTTTTTTTTTTTTAATATTTTTGGGTGTCTGGAACGGATTAATTTTATTTCCATTATTTCTTATGGGGAAAAATGGTTTCACCATTTGTCAATTTCGTCCTTCAGCAGACTCTTTGGAACAGATTAATCACAAAACTCGGGGGTCCACTGTGTACTCATTCTTCATTTATTCAGACTTTTTTTTTTTTAACAACCTGCTATGTCCCACTGAGGCAGGGTGACCATTTAAAGTTAGTAATTTATACAGGAGAAGGGGTTACTAGTCCCTTGCTCCCTGCATTTTAGTCACCTCTTATGACACGCATGACTTACAGAGGAAGAATTCTTTTCCACTTTCCCATGGAGAAAAAAGGAAATGAAGAAGAACAAAAACTATTAAGAAAATGGAAGAAAACCCAGATGGGTGTGTGATTATGTGTGTGTGTGTACATGCATGTGTAGTGTGACTTAAATGTAAGTATCAGTAGCAAGATATACAGCCTCTCCTCACTTAACGACGGGGTTCTGTTCCTAGGAGTAGGTTGGTAAACGAATTGGTTGTTCAACAAGGAGCATACTATACTGGTAGTGGGTTTGTGTCAGCCATCTTGGGATATTTTTTTAATGTCACCTTTGCACCATTTATAACATTTCTGGTACAGTGGACCCTCAGCTAACGATATTAATCCGTTCCTGAAAGCTCATCGTTAGCTGAAATTATCGTTAGCTGAATTAATTTTCC